CTTCAAAAATGTAAGAGACCCAAAGAAAACTGTTTTATCAGACATTTTCAAATACTTCCTACTCAAGTAAATGCAAGCAACCATAGTTTTCAATGTCTGCCTGCTCTCACCTTTCAGGAGCTGCTGGAAGACCTCGAGGACATTGTGGCGCATCCACACGCGCGGAAAGTCCTCCTTTACCTGCTGGCGCCGCGTGACCAACGTCACTTCCCTGCCCAGCTGATGGCGAACCTGCTGGTTGACGGGGATGACAGTCCATTCACCCGCAAGCCCCTGGGCCTGCGTGCTCTTGAGTACCGATCCCCTGCGGTGGGTATTCTGCCCGCCCTCCTTCGTCTCGCCACCGACCGCCTCATTGCCATCTTCGTTGGTGATCCAAAGGCCGACCTGACGGCGCCTCTGGAGGACCGTTCACGCCTCATACTTCTGGGGGAAATACTTTCCCGCAGGTCAGCTAATAAATGCAGCTCGCCTATTTCTACTTTTGACACAAGCTTAACTTTCACTTGTATAAGTTCCGTAAATATTCCCATGGTTAATTTTAAAAGTCAGTTTATGGCAAACATATGTTTTCAGCAACTCGTCATCAGGTCAAGCATTCGCAGAGGAAATTAACGCTGTACGTATTTAAACTTTAATTGTTATGTACAGCGTTCATTTCCCTTGCAAATGTTTGGCCTGATGACGAGTTGTTGGAAACATATGTTTGCCATAAACTGATTTTCACTTGTGTGTTGGAAGGCGGTATTAACTGTGCCCGAATCGGCGTCGACGGATACTGAATGTGGATGACGCCCAGAAAAGAAACTTCCTTCATGAAGAATATCGAAATGCTATCGGGTACCTCATTGTGTAACCTAGTTGTTTCAGCGAATCGACATGACAGGATAGAGCAGACGCGTCCTTGATCATTACCCAGTGACGTGCGAACGTTGAAGGGCTTGTCGGTTTCTCTGTGCTGAAATACTTCCAATCACCAGTTTTAGTCCCGCTTAATTTAGCTCGCATGTTTCTCATTTAGACACGAACATGCCTCTCGGGCCTCTGTGTTTCTGAACCGCTTTTTAT